CATGTGGCACTGTTTACGAGCAAATGTGATGAAAAGTTAATTATGCATTACATAAATTTACTTCCAATACGTACTGCGGCAATGTAAATTGATCCTGAAGGAATCACTGTAAGGTATACCCGTCGAAGTATGCCATTAAGGGTGTCACCACACTTAACGAAGTGTTAAGCCGGTCAGAAAAAGCTTTAGGTCGTTAGCCGTTTAAAAAGAGCGTAGCTCTAATCGAAACGCGCAACGTACAACATCTTATTCGCTCTTATTGCATTTCAGAGGCCAGCACACCAAGCTAGACATTGACGGTTCTTGTTCTGTTGCACTGGAGGCGATATTCGAACAGAAGTGTGTAGCTTGATGTACTGTTGACTGCATATAAAGCTTTTTGTGACCGGCTCAAGCCGATTTAATAAATGTGGTGAGTCCCTTAGTCTCCTCTAGTGATGTGTATGATTGTTTATTTCCTGTCAAAGGTTAGTGCGAGGAAAAGTAAGCGACCAAAGCCTTGCCTTGTCGGTAATCCACGTCCCTATATGTTGTACGTACTAACACTATCTTACTTCAACTATCACTTACATCATATGGTGTACAGGGGAACGTATTTTGTTGAGGTGGTGCGCCAATAATCAGATGAACATTGTGTACACTCAAAACACTCATTGTTATTTAATTTTGTTGGTAACAAGAGCTCTGCTAGTATTAAATTTTCACTATTCACCCTTATACACAGGATTAACAATTATGCAAACTGAGAAATATTCATATATTACATAACAAAATATATCGCATTGTCGATGCAATAGTGTATTAACTCAAATAGTGTATTTCTTTAAGAATCGCTGAATAACGGATTACCCACTTCCCGTGAAAGATTATTGACATTTATGTATAGGTTAAAGTTTATTACGGACATTAAAAAATTTTCTGCTTGCCAAATATATTTAAAAATAAAAGGGGAAAAATAGTTTCATATTTTTTAGTAACGACTGGTTGTCCAGAACTGACTCATAAGAAGTTTGTCTCATTTTGAGTTAAGCCTTACGACGGCGACGGTTGTGTTGACGTGTAGAGTTTAATTTACGTTGAGCAATAGTGTATCTTGAATTTCACATATTTTGAGTTACAACACTATTGTAATAGTACTGCGTAGTAGTATGATAATAATTAATTATATAAGTCTGCTAGCAAAACGCACGGTATTTTACAGGCGGTATTTAAAAAAAATGTATATATACTATATTATACTTGTCATGAATTATTATCATTTAACAAAAGGTAAGTATGACTAAATGATACAAGCAGTAGAATTTTTTTCAAAATTCACAAAAATTACATCTTTAAAAACTTTCCTTCACAAGGATACATCACTTTTTCAAATCAGCAACGTTTTTTTTTAAATTTCATAAACTTTCAAAGATGACATGTACAATTTATCAAATTTGAATTAATGAATAGCACAATCACATCCTTATGTCCTGCATCCTAACAGCTTATTAACTTATGTTTAGTATCTAATTGAATATATAATATAGTAAACATATAATTTGCCTACGAACGACATTACAAATATTTACAGAAGTTTTGACAAATATTTTGATCATGCTCATAAAATTGTGGACAGCAATTACAAAAAATACTGTAGCAATTACTAAAGTAAAACTTTAGAATAAAAGTGTGTTTGCATTATCGAAACATAAGGAATAATTACACACACATTTTGCAACTTTTTGTTGAAAATTGAATCTTCCTTTTTTGATGTTCAAATTTCTTATAAGACATTGTTCGATGCTTTGACGTATAAAGGTTTAAAAGTTAGATTTGGACTCGCTATTTAGTGAAATTTAAAGAACTAATTGCTTCAACTCATAACAACAACAGTTGTTGTTAAACTCCACACTGCCTTCACCGTTCAAGAGTCCAAAAGTAACTTCTCCACCTTAGTAAGTATACACTTCTAAAGTTCTATTTAATTTTTTTGTATCGTACCATTACGAAACTACAACACAAAATTACAATAGGAACTTTTTAATTTGTAGAATATTGTATTATTTTAAAAATGGGCGCCATTTTGTTGGGTTACAATGAGATTGCAAGTTTCAAAATGGCGACTTTGGGTTCCATATCTGTTCTTTCTCATAGTTTGAACCGTTATTTTGATTAAGAATTGTGACTTTCGTACGTTAAAATGTGGACGGGCTGGCGGTTAATAATTTAAAGATTATTTATGTACAAATATATTTACTATCGACTCAATCATATACTAACTTATTCAGATCGTACTAATACTAGGAATAAGTAATTATGTTCTTTATGGTATTATTTTAGCTGCGCACATAACTTTTTAAAATTATTTGTTAGGTATTAAAATTATATTGTTCTATTTTGGTTTTTGTATGTCATATTTTATTTAAAGATATTACGCAACATATTAATATTACGTATTTTAATGTTATAGTTTTTAAATTATTAGACCACTAAGTCTGCCATGTTTTACAATTATATTTCGCTTCGGACGTCTGCATGGAAACTTTTGGACACTTACGGTGATAGAAACTATCCATGGAGCTCTTGGGGGGTCCTTTGCTTAGTGTGATGTAGTTTTTGTGCTTATAGACGACCGGTGTGGCAAGGTTGGGTAGACCAAGAATAACGTAAGTATGTATTCATATGTTGTGGGAACACGTGAAGTATAGCTCCTTCTTATTTTTATTTTGCGACCTCATCTCGGGCTGAGATTAATATTTTTTTAGACAGAATGCTTGTGAAAGGCACGTTTTATATTAAAATTAATAACAAACACTGGCCATATATTCATAACACATGCAGCTGCGTTATTCCATAGACAATATAAGCACTGAATAAAATTAGAAAAAGATTTATTCTGTCTATAAAATATAGTGCCGAGTGCCTACTTATGAAAAAAACATGTAAGATGATTAGCTCAAATGAAAACCAGATGAGGTTGCAAAATGCTAAAACACTAGGGCTAGGCGAGTGCTGGCTAGCCTAGCTAGCTCGCTAGCTAGCTGCTAAGCTGACTTTGACTAGCTTGGTGACGGAGCGGCGGCGTCCTGTGTGAAGGGTAAAGCACTGCTTTGGTGGACTGTTAACGTTCGATCGGTGAGTGTACCATATTGTTTTAATTTTAATTTTATCGCGGTGGATGTGAGTACATAGGTTTAAAAGTTTTAAAATACTTTTTTTTTAAATTGACAATTATTTACTTTATATACCGAACTAAATGAAAAGATCAAATCAATTTATGACTTAAGTGATCGATTATTCCGCCTATGTATCCAGGTAGCGTATTTTTTTAAATAATTTTGTTGGTCATAATCTCATTTATGTAATAATCTTATGAAAATATAGTAATACATAATTGTTGTGTCTAATGTACTTGCAGTCATCGTCTACACATACCTACATACATTAATGTATACGTCCGTACTTGTATCGTCGAAGACGCCACAAACCGCTCCTGGATCATGATTACCTGATAATTATATTTAAGAAAGACGCAACAAATACTGACTGATTTTTTAAATCAGTCAGTATTTCAGTATAGTAAAATAAAAAAAACGTACATTTAAAATACTTAGAAGGCGCTTAAATCCATTTTTTTTTGCTACGAAATTATATAGACTTATAATTGAAGCTATCAGCACTAAAGTGATGTAACACATATTAAATTTTTTTTGTACAATATTACTTTGAATAATAAAGTGTATAATTATTTTATATTCGGATGCTATTTTCATGTATAAAAATATTAAAATATTAAATTTTTTCGATATTTTTATTTTCTTTTAACATGCAAATATCATCAAAATATAAAATAATACTTTGGAATAATTTAAACTTTTTGGTAGCAGCAGAGCTCCTTGTGAAAAAGTTCGTACAGGGAAGTACTGTCACTATTTTTGCCGCCAAGCAGTAATGTAAGCATTACAGTATAAAGTAGTGTCCGGTTTTGTAGGGTAAAGGTGCTGGTGAAATTACAGGCACATGGGACTTATCAACTTATGTCTCAGGGTGGCAGGCACAGTGGCAGTACCCCTCAGATCTTTGCGATTTAAAGCTCTGACTGGCACTGCAACTGTTATGGACAGGCGTGTAGCTTACTCCCAGATACATGACTTGTTCGTCCCGTCTCTTGATATTATTAAAAAAAACCTAATAATAAAGTAATATTATAGAAAAAAATTAAATGTGGGTTACACCACTTTTGTGGTGATAGCCTCAATTATAACGCAATTTGAAAGCAATACTGTCACTAAACAAAAAAGTTAACTTTTGGAACAATATGTACTTTAAATATTACTGAAAATTAAGTTTTCATTATAAATAGCAATATTTCGTTAACGTGCGATATATTATCTCAAATTATATATATAATCATCAGCTGAACATGATCCTACTTTTCAACACAACTAAACTAATATAATACTATGTCTATGGGGTACTATCGCATTTATATCTAGGCACATTATGGAGTTTATGGGAAAAAAAACGGGATGAGCAATATTGGTATTATATTGACGCATAATGTATATGAGAATAGTTATAATTTTATCATGAAATACTGTAGAACATTGTGTGACTAACTCGAAATGCATGACAAAAGAGAAAACCATCCATGAATCATTTTAATAATTGGGTAAAAAATATTGTAATTTGGTATATTACTGAAAATGACACTTGACAGTCAAGACTGGTCTTTTAGCACATTATTGGACTTGACTCTACATTATGAGATTTTTATGTATTTATTTGCACTTATCAAAACTCGAGTATTTATTTACTCCGTTTGCAAATGTACAAAGAATAGTTTTATAAAGCACACAATTATGACTCTGAAGTCAAAATAACACAAATAAATGTTTAAATTTACTCTGAAAATGTTGTTTCAACGAGTCATATTTGCGTATGATGTACACTTTTAGCACCTATTTTATGCATACAGATAAAGCAATGTACTTATAGCACAAATTTGTCATATTTATTAGGTCCGCTAACATACTACTATCCCCCACCTATGGGCCCGACGCTGCCGCCTCCACTCGTCTATTGGGGCTACCCTACCCCGCCAGTGTCTCCTGCGCATTATTATCATCCCCCTCATCATCCCCAAACCATGGTAAGTACTTATCATATATTTATTAACATTACATATATAAGAGCATACGAAAACAAACGTCGTATATATCTTTTTAGTATATTCGTAAGCCCAATTTATATTTTTAATTAATATAGTAATGTTTTGACTATGATATTCATCTATTTTTTGTGAAAATTCTCCACTAGCTTTTTTTGTTATAATCTAAATCCTTGGGCCACCGAGGTCGTAAACATCTATTATCATGTATCAATACCCCCAATAAAAACACCACGCCAACTTTATTTTTTGCTAATTTTCTGTTATTTTGTAAACACTCGTATTCATTTACTAACATTGTGCTCCCCGCATTTTGGGAAAAAAAGAAACAAACAGCAAAATTCGAAAAAAAAACAGAAAAATGAATTTTCTAAAAACAAAGTAAAAACAGAACAGGTCCAAAAATTAAGTTGGCGTAACGTTCATTGAACGTTTCGGTATATTTAGCACTCTTATCGAAACAAAATGCTTTGGTGTTACTTTGAGTAGCGGGAGAGCTCCTTGTGAAAGAGTTCGTCTAGGGAAGTACTGCCACCTTACTTATGTCTGCCGCTAAGCAGCGACGTGAGCATTACTGCGTTCCGGTTTGGAAGGGTAAAGGGTGCTGTGGGGGTTGAGCGAAAGCGCGAGATACTGCTATTCTTTCGTAGACGCGTAGTCGCGCCCTATTCAGTTAACCCTATTGGTGAAATTAATTACAGGCACATGAGACTGGTCAACTTACGTCTTAGGGTGACGGGCTGTGGTAATTTACTACCAGGCGCACGACATGTTCGTCCCGTCACTTACTGTTATAAAAATAATTTGTTAGGTCTAAAACCCTTCGTTGAAATTCACTATTTATATAATTAAATTTTGTGATTTCACACTATTTCAGATTCCAGAAGTGGTGTCTGTAAGTGGAGGGTCGCCCATTCCCATACCAGCGCCGGCCGCCTGTCCTGAATGGCCCATCTACATGGTCAATTGACCCATTAAAACGTGACCAATCACGACAACGCCATTAATGGCCATTATGCCAAAGTTGGTCAAAAAACTAAACGGACATGCAACATGGTCTCCACAGCTGTAGTTTAAATTTTAAAAAAAACTAATATTTTTAAGATCGTAAAATTCGTTTCGCTCAAAAAAGCTCAATCTTTTTAACCAAATTATTAAATTATTTCTTCATATAGTTTATTGTTTGTTGTTAAATGAATTTGAAAGTTATTAATTTTATATTGTCTTTATTGTACAACTGCGTTTATATACCATTTGGATATTTTTGCGACTGCAAATCGTAACAATTGTTGGTGCTAAAATATATAATATGCAACATCACATCACAAAACATTAAAAAGAAAATTAAAAAAAAACTGGCCAATGTTCACAAATCTGTTAAACATGTAAAGTGATATTAAACTCTATTTCATATATTTGTTGATCTTAGTAGTATTAATTTCTCAAAAATATGCCTAAATAAAAAACAAATATTAATGTAAAATAATATTACTGTAAAGAATTCACATCATTTCGACCAAAATTTATTTAAATATACGTTATCGTTCGATTTTAGGTGTTTTATAGACCGCATATCAGTCACTACGTCTTCTAATGTGTATGATGGTGGCCATAACAGCAAATTGTACTTGTTATAATTAACTCTTTTGCATTTCGGTAACTTTCGAGATATTTGCTACTGAAGTTTTATTGTTAGGTACCTAAAAAATGTCAATTGCGGTGAAATAGCTTATCAATAAAATACAAACTAAATAACAGATTCAAAAACTGATTAGAGGGGGTTATATAACACGTTTCCCTGGTCCCAGATATGTTAATAACTGAATTTCGCTAAAAATATTAATTATGTTAGTTATGATAGACCCTATAATAACTAACATAATCGATATTTCTCGGGTAAAAAATGGCGGTCTTTTGAAGTTACAAGTACAGTTTTTACAAAGACTATTTTTATTTCAAGTATAATATGAAGAAAATACGAAGAAAGAAATAGTGATGAAGAAAGTTAGACCTATAGTCATTGACTTACAATTATATGGACGTTGGGTCCGCCCTAAAAACTGTCCGAACTTATAGGGCGTTAAAATCGTATACAGAGCGTCATTCACGCTTTCTTGTCTTCGTTTGTTCGACTGACAGCGAAGCAAGCAAAATTAGCAGTACTGCGATGACATTACAATTTAAATTCAACGTTTTAGCTTTTTCATATTCCTTTACATGTCGCTACGTTTAAATAGGTTGACTTGGGACATTTTTTTCGTGGTTTTTGTATTAGACCCGTCGTCCATTTATTTGTATAGTCCTTATTTTAAACCAAACTACAAAAGATTTTGTACTGAAAATTCCATTAATTACGAATTGAAAGTTTTTTTTCAACGTGACAATAATGTAATATAGGTGAAAGTGAAAACATAAATGTTGACTCCCGCCGTTTATGAGACTATTTAGAAAATCCAAACAAGAGACCTAAGTTATTTAAGAGAAAGTGAAAACATAATGTATACTAGAACTATGTACAATGGGAAATATTTATTAAGGCTCCCGATAATTAAACGAAAACATGGCTCAAGGACTTGTATCCCAGCTAAAACTCTTATTAATAATAAAAAAAAAACATTTTTTTCAGGCAGAAATCTATTCTAATATAGTCGTATTCTAGAACTCTACTCAATGCTCGAGTCAGGACTTGAATATGATTCAAAGAACTAGAAATCATACTCAAGTCCTTGCCATTAGAGTCGTATTTCCAGTGCTTGAAATCCTACTCAAGTCTGCTCAAATCCTGACTTGAGCATTGAGTAGAGTTCTGGAATACGACCCTGAGTGTAAGTAATGTTCGTCTTGTCTATGATTTGAGAATTTTAATACGTAGTGTCTGTAGAAACTGATATGCGTTGTCTGTAGTATTTTACACGTAAGACTTCATCGTTTTTACCCATTGTTGTATATTTTTTAAACAATAAAAAATCACAATGACAACGATTGTATATATACAGTGATACTAAGGTGCTGTTGTTAATTATTTTTGTAGAAAATAAACCAAAAATATATTATAAATATATTTTATGTATCTGAGAACTTGCGTTTAACATTTATGTAGATAGATATTAGACGATGCTCAATTAGTTGTTTATAGAATTGTATTGATATATTATTTCGAGCTGATATTTATGCCATAATATAAATTCGTCGTGATATATCTTACTTAGTTTATATGGCTGACATTTGAGCTAAATATGTACTATATTTTATTTATATAAATTAATATAACTTGGCATTATATAAGGGAAATAATATACAACGTTATTTGTAAAATGCTATGAACCTCATAGAACTATAATTACAACTTTTCTTCCACGTCTTTTTTCAAAATATAAATTTACCAAAAATGTACTTTTAAGTTATTGCTGTATCGACACTTTTTATTTGTTTATTTGGTAGTAAGGTGGTAAGTTAAAACGAGCAAGCGTCCTCTCGACGATCCCCATTCGTACTGGTATGTTTTTTGTTACTGCACAGAGTTATCACCGTTCACAAAAAATAAATCTGTCATGTCAAATCATGGAACTAAAGTTGTTGTTTATGACGCTAGTAATAAAGTCCTATGAGGTTGTTAGGATTTTACAAATAATAAGAAGAAAAGAAATGTAAATAGAAAAATTCTTCCTTTAAAATTATTAGTTAAAGGAAGAAAATTTCGTCGATGGTCACACCTTACGGTACTGCGCATAAGGAGCGTGGCATTTTTTCTTCTCTTTCGATGGCGACGCCTTTTCTTTGTGAGGAATTAGCTGCCAAACTTGTGGGTGTTGTAGAAAAAATAATATTATGGTAAGTCATATAATTATGAAATCGAGTTCACAGGTTTTCACGATTTGATTTCGATTGTAAACGTAACATTTTTTTCGGATCAAAAACAATAGGTACCAACTCAGTCTACTGTGGGATTTGTAAAGAGCCCGAACCGAAACGTTGCCTTGTTTGAAAATCGAATGAAGTACGCGATTTTAAATTCGGAAAAATAGTTACATTTCCAATTTGTGAGATAAAAATATAAATATTATGTATAGTTTAATCTATATTTTTACAGCACATTTCCTATTTTATTACTTCCGATTGAAATGGAAATGTACACCAACATGAATATTACATATATAATCTATAAAAAAACATGGCTCAAGTGTCGTTACAAGTGCTCAATTAAATAAAATCTTAGTAAAATTCAAGCCGAACTTGACTAAAACTGTTAAGTAAGAAATCTTGCCCACAAAAGGCCAGTAATGTAGTTAAATTTGGCTTGACTTAGTTAATTTAACTTATTCTATACTAGTTCTCGAAGTTTTATTTAATAAATCTTAATACTTAACATAAAAAAACATATTGGCATTATTTTGTAACTTATTTTTAAAAAGTTTGTTTTAAGATTGTTGCGTTATTTCAGAGTGAAGTTTGTTCATTTTGATGTAAAATGAGCCCTATAGCTTAAATTACAGGATTATTATTTCCTAATAGTTTTAATATTCAGTTAATTATTACTTACATACTTTATTTTTTAATTAAATGTATATTTTATTGGCATAATAGTTAAGATTTGACGAAACAACAAAATCGACGTCTTCCAATCGTTTTAAAATAAATATAATAAATTTAAACGCATTGTGTCACAAAACATTGTGATAAGTTTAGTTATAGTTAAAATTATAGAATTTTAAGCAATATATTAGTTAAAATATTATTATTAATTATTGGCATTACGAACTGCCGGTTAATCGCGTAAGTCAAAGACAAATGGTGTCATTTATATTGTCTTTTTTAATATTAATAATTTTAACGAATCAGGGGGGCTTCGTCCTTTTGAGCCTTACTCTGGCTAATTATTGCCGTTAAAACCACAATGTGTACCAATGATCTGTGAAACTTTTGACGCAGTGTTTTTAAGCAGTTTCTAGAAAAAAAAATATTATCACTAGTGTCGCAAGGAATAGTATTTCGCCTCCAGGCCGAATATCGAATATTCGGCCCAGAGCGAGGCCGAATAGCCGAATATTCGGCCAAACTATTCGGCCCGATTAATGATCTTACGAAAATTGGCGCGCAAACCGCATTATAGCAAAGATACATACATACATATATATAAGTTAACTTAAAGTATTAAACCAGTACAGTTGCATGATTTTGTAAAAAGAAACAAAAAAGGAAATTTTATTTTCAAGTTTATTTACTCATGATTTCATGACAAAATGACATAATAAGTAGTTAGTGTTCATTTGATTTGTTATCTTTTTTTGATCTCATAGAAGTTACTAATTGTGATAATTTACTATATTTTCTTATTTCTTTCTTCTGTTTTAGGATTCGGCCGAATAGTGATTTAATGTTCGGTATTCGGCCGAATAGCAAAAAATAGGCCGAATACCGAATAGTAACCGAATATTCCTTGCAACTCTATACGGGTTTCTTACTACCACATACTATATTATAACGCGGTAAGAAATCCATAAGTAGTGATAATGATTTAGTGAATAACATCGAAAGCCTTATATCTATATTAGGAAAACAAGTCAGAAAATTTTATTTTTTTAAATTCGTGAAATTAAGAACGAAAAATATTACTACTACAGTAATGTTTTTAGATCTATCAAAAGTTTGGCAAAAAATAGCAGTTTATGTGACTCTTATATAATGAAAGGCACTAAAATATGAGTGACGGTTTACACGAGAGAGAATGAAGCAATGTAACATTTTCACAGATAAGAAATTTGTTCTTACAAAACAGTTTACATTATAGAGAGTTCATGATATGTGTGCAGATAAAGTGGTTTAAACGACAATTGCGTCGGCAAGGTAGAATATCAATGTCACCGGACTCTCTTTCGCCTTACGCAATTAGCAGGCTATTCTATTGTTACAAAAAATGAATCTGGCTCTGTAGTTATTTTTCAAGCGACATCAAATAGGAATGTGTCGTTCATTGCACACTGAATATTAAGCAATTGATACAATTTTTTAAAACTTCCATAAAAATAATGAAAAAATGTATTAGTGAAAGTTTAGTATGTACAATGTACTTACTAACTTTGA